AAATTGAAGTCATTGCATTTGGGAACAGAGATGAGGTTCTCAAGGTGAATGTGTACCTTGGCTCTAAAGGTCAAACAACATCTTGGTGAGACTTTGGAGTCAGATCTGAGTTTCAGTAGTCATGTCAAAGCAGTTAGTAAATCAGCACACTTTCATCTCAAAAACATTGCAAGAATTCCTTTGGTTCCAGTGAGGACTTAGAGAAACCTGTTCATGCTTTTATCACCAGCAGGGTGGATTACTGTAACGGCCTTCTCACGGGCCTTCCAAAAAAGACAATCAGACAGTTGCAGCTCCTCTAGAACTCTGTGGCCAGGATACTGACCAGAACCAGCAAATAAGAGCACATCACACCTGCCCTTAGGTCTTCACACTGGCTCCCAGTTACATTCAGATTTGATTTTAAAGTATTACTACTTCTCTATAAATTACTAAATGGCCTAGGACCTCAATACATAACAGATATGCTCACTGAATACAAACCCAACAGATCACTCAGATCTTTCGGATCATATAAACTAGAGTTTAATATAGAGTTCAATCAAAGCAGGGTGAATACGCCCCTCGCTGCTGGAATCAGCTTCCAGAAATGATCAGATGTGCTTCAACATTAGACACATTCAAATCAAGACTGAAAACACATCTGTTTAGCTGTGCCTTTACTGAATGAGCACTGTGCTACGTCCGACTGATAGTACTATATGACATTTTTTCCCATTATTTTATAACCTATTTTAACACATTTTTTTCTGTTTTTTTTATAATTTTTATTATTTGTTTTATTTTCTTATACTTGTCTCTTTTATTCCTGTTCATGTAAAGCATTTTGAATAGCCACTGTGTATGAAGTGTGCTATATAAATAAACTTACCTTGCCAGCCTAATAACTCATTTCTAATAACTGATTTATTTTATCTTTGTCATGATGACAGTAAATAATATTTTACTAGATATTTTTTAAGACACTTCTATACAGCTTAAAGTGACATTTAAAGGCTTAACTGTGTTAATTAGGTTAACTAGGCAGGTTTGGGTAATTAGGGAAGTTAGTTTATAACGATGGATTGTTCTGTAGACTACTGAAAAATATATAGCTTGAAGGGGCTAATAATTTTGACCTTAAAATGTTCTTTTCAAAATTAAAAACTGCTTTTATTCTAGCCGAAAATAAACAAAAACACTTTCTGCAGAAGACAAAAATATTATTAGACATACTGTGAAAGTTTCCTTGCTCTTTTAAACATCATTTGTGAAATATTTAAAAAGAAAAAAAAATGAAAGGGGTGCTAATACTTCAACTGTTTATATGTATGACTAAATGACTAAATATATATATATATATATATATATATATATATATATATATATATATATATATATAGCTTGACATCTTTTCATCCTGAGGTTTTTAACTGTTATAATCCCAGACAAGCTGTTTAGTTACTCTAGTAAATATTTCACTTAAATATAATATATTTTATTTAAACCTAAATAAAACTTATTAAATTATTAAATAACAGCTATTTTATGTAAAATTGTTTAGCATAAATTAAGTACAGTAAAGATCTATTAATAATTATTTGCAGGCAATAGACAGAATCTTTCATTTGATGTATAATGTTGAGGCTAATATACATATATATATATATATATATATATATATATATATATATATATATATATATATATATATATTTAGTCATAGTTTATAAAAGTAGCCTATCAGCTAGAAAAGATAGCACACAGGAAAAGGATGACATGGCATTTAGAAATTTGGTCAAAGAAGAAGATGATTACAGACCAGTATTTTCTCATGGCAAAAACAAAGAAAACACATTTTGCTGCATGTTAATATAAATCATAACTCATATAAATGCAAATTTGCAAACTAGCCTATAGAAGAAGAAAATAGTTGCACACTGCAAGAGATGAATAAAAGTAAGAAAGAAAAAAAAACATTTACATAATTTATTAGATATGGAAAATCTGAATAACTGAATTTGGGTCATGGATGTAGATCATATGCAAAACCAAACCACCAGCTTACAGTGGGAGCGAGTACAGAGTCAGATCATCTCCTGGCAGTGATTTCTGAGGTCTCTGTCCAGACAGAACAGTGGTTTCTTCATTTTCCTAGTGGGACCGCAAGAGGTTCATATAATAAAATAACGAAGTAAACTATGTACAGTATCAAAAACCACATTTTGCTCATAGAACAGACCACTGGACCTCAAATGACAACAGCGAGTGACCTCTTGTGGTGATCTAGTATATTAGCCTTAACATTATACATCAAATGAAAGATTCTGTCTATTGCCTGCAAATAATAATTAATAGATCTTTATTGTTCTTAATTTATGCTAAACAATTTTACATAAAATAGCTATTATTTAATAATTTAATAAGTTTTATTTAGGTTTAAATAAAATATATTATATTTAAGTGAAATATTTACTAGAGTAACTAAACAGCTTGTCTGGGATTATAACAGTTAAAAACCTCAGGATGAAAAGATCTCAAGCTTGATCTTAAGTTTACCAACAGCTCCCTCTTCTGGTTTAAAATGCCAATGCAGATTTTACAGTAACTATGAAAAAAAAAAATTCTGGTAAAGGCATTGGAAGCAGAAATCTAATTTTGGCTAGGAATTTCTATATTAAAACGTAATCCATCATCTTTCCATCTTTCCATCACCTCCTTGTTGCTATGGTTACATATCATGTTCACCTGCACCTTATCATTGCCCCTTGTGTATTTAAGTCCTGATTGTAGCTGCTTCTCACCTTACCATGCATGAACAGTTATTTCAGAGAAGGTGGTGTGACTGAACCTTCAATTGCATGAGGCTTCTTTGTAATAATCTTGAGTAAGTGTAATAATTAGTTTATAAACACAGTCCTAAGCATTCACTTAGTTCAGCGGTTCTCAAACTTTTTTCATCAAGTACCACCTCAGAAAAATTTTGTCTCTCCAAGTACCACAAAAATGAGTAGTAATGTAATGTGATGTAATGTGTATTTATATAGCACATTTATTGTGTATACACCCAAAGCGCTTCACAATCATGAGGGGGGGTCTCTCCACACCACCACCAGTGTGCAGCATCCACTTGGATGATGTGACGGCAGCCACAGGACATTGGCGCCAGTGCGCTCACCACACACCAGCTATTGGTGGAGTGGAGAGACAGTGATAGAGCCAGTTCGGTGGAAGGGGATGATTGGGAGGCCATGATCGTATGGGCCGATAGAGGGACTTTGGCCAGGACACCGGGGTTACACCCCTGCTCTTTCACGAGAAGTGCCATAGGATTTTTAATGACCACAGAGAGTCAGGACCTCGGTTTAACATCTCATCCGAAAGACAGCGCCCACTGACAGTGTAGTGTCCCCTTCACTTTTACTGGGGCATTAGGATTCACATAGACCTCAGGTTGAGCACCCCCTGCTGGCCTCACTAACACCACTTCCAACAGCAACCTAGTGTTCCCTAGTGGTCTCCCATCCAGGTACTAACCTGTATGTATGTATGTATGTATGTATGTATGTACGTACATAGAAAAAAGATATTAAAAGCATTGAGTATTAAATGACCTGACAGTTCACTAGAAAAATCTAAATTCACAGTAATTGCAATTGGACAGTTGCATACCTTACCTTAGAGGTCTTTTCCTAGAGAAGTAGGTTCTGGTCCAAAACCTCAACAAGTGCCTTGGACATGGTCTCATGTTCTGTATTAGAAGCACTGGGTCTCAGGCAGTTCAAAATGATACGTCCAGTTGAAGCAGTGGTTTATAATGAATTAATAATAGCTTCACTGGGCTTATTGCTTTTATAAAGCAGTTATACCATTTACATAGCAAGGTTTAACTAAAAAAAAAGGCAAATAAAACAGTTTTGACTCTGAACTGATAGTTGAATTGTTGCCAAGTAACAGTCACAGGTTTAGTATTTTAAAACAACTTCAAGCGTGACCTCAACTAATCAGACACAAGGGCTGGAACTATAGTTATCATAAAATGTGTTTTCCAAAAGAACCCAATAAGACCCAAAGGTTACAGGGATGTATTAAGTTTAATGTGACATTTCAACGCTTCAGTACACAGTTTTTGTGAGCAGAATCAGTTTTGTTCATTTTTGTCTGCAGCCTGTCCACATATTATTTAAAAAGTTTGTGTTAAAAGGGTCGTGTTTTTCTTTCTGGCAGAAAAGTGATGAGGTCGTACAAATTTGAATTAGCCACTGAATAAAGTTTACAACTTGTCATGAGATTGTTTCGGCAAGTCAGGTTTGAGTATTAAGCGATTTAGATTTTGTATAACGCTGTAATGCAAACACTGCATCATTACTTGTAACAAAGAACTAGGATGCAAGCAGGCCCGCCGGGGGGGTTCAGGTGGTTCAAAAGACCCACCACCCCCCATTGACAAAGGTCCACAATTTGTCCCACACACGAGCTCAGTTGTCAGTTGACTGGGGAATGTTGGCCAATTTGCTATTTAAGTTAATGATATTTAAATTACTTTGGCTGCAGTTTTTGATTTAAAACTTTAACAGATTCATATATTTACTGATACAAGATATAATTGATGTTAATATGATGTAAATGATAATTGATATAAATCTTTAGGAAATGTTTTAGCTACATAAAAGGAGTAGTCATTATTACCAACAGACATGCTAATCCAGCAAAAAAATAGTGCTTTAAAAGTCACTAAAAATGCAACCTATTTTAAACTCATAATTAAATGGAAAATGAGGCGAATAACTGCAAAAAAGATTGACTTTTTAAGAAAAAAAAGAACTAAACCTTTCACTGGGCTGGCTATTGCCTTTAGGTTTTTTGTGTGTTTATTGTGTTTCATAGGGTGGATCGTCATCTTTAGTTTTTTCGTAAAAGAATATTTCTGACAAGAGACCTGCATCTCATTGTAAACTCTTGTAGTTATGAATTAAGAATAAAAAACATCCATTCACTCACAAATCACAATGGAAAGAATATGGTGTCCACGTTTTCTTTTAATTCAACTCATAACTATTGCATATATTTGTACTACAGCTGGTAAAACTCACTACATGGACATGGCTTCCCAGTTCAACAAAAAATCTTGCTTAAGAAATGTACAAAAAAAATTATAAAAAGCCCTTCATCTTCACTTTACCTCAGAAATACAAAATCTTCCCAATATTGGTACATTTTCAGATTTAAAATAAAAGGATCTTTCGATATCTAAACTAGACTTAAAGAGACAACATCTTAAGAAAATACAAAAGGAGACTGAGGTATTATTCAGTCTTGAAATGTGAAAAATCATGAACTAAAAATATCTTCTAGGTCAATCGCTTTAACATCTGGCAGTTGAGAAATGAAACGTTACACATTTCCTAGTCAGAAAGCTATAAAGTGTTTGAAAATGCATTACAGACAGCATCTAGATTGTTCTTTTCTCCTCCCGCCTCACATGAAGCTTTTGTTATGAATAAACACCACTGACAACAGCCATACAACATTTACATCAGCTTCACATGAAATAATAAAACCGAAGGCTCCAAAACATTTAAAAAGAAGAAACGTAAATATACTTAAAAGCCTCACACGACTTCAGACTTACTTTGGTTGGGCTAAAATGAGTCAGAAACAGGAAGACAGATGTCAGACGTGAGGATTTCGCTCAGGCTACAGCTGGAGCTAGTCAGCAAGATGTGTATCTAAAGCCTGTTCTGAACACATTTGAACAGCTGTTTCACCCAGCAGAAGGAATTGTGGGATACGAACCCAACCTAAATCCAGATACACACCCTGACTCACATGTAAACCACAAGAAACGCTACGCTGGGCCTTAGTCTCCTCCTCTGCCCTAGCATTCGCCAACCGCAGGCATCCTTACCCAACCCAAACCACACCTGCTCCACCCTGACTAATAACACACACAGAAAGCAATCATTAAGTGCTGCTATAACAGGAATGTAGTTATTCAGTAAGAACAACCCTGACTGAAGTATATCAATCAATCATATTGATATATACATAACCAAATTGAAAGTATACAATTTTCATATAAAACATATATATATATATATATAAAAAAAAAAAGAGTAGGGTCAATAAAAAAAGTGTGAAGTTTCCCCTTGTTTTTTCAATAAAAAGAAATATTTTAAAAGTAGCTCCCTTATCAAACTCTCTATTCACTAAAGTGCTCTCTTAAATTCAACTAACAATGAAAATGGTAAACGCAACAGTTAAGTACAGCCATAATAATCATACATCATGCTATAAAGACTCCCAAAAGCACTTAAAAAAGATCAATTTATTTATTTACGATTTAAAGGAACACCCCACTTTTTTGTTTGGAAATCAGCTAATTTTACAGCACCTTCTAGAGTTAAACAGCCAAGTTGTATCATTTTTGAATCCATTCAGCTGAACCCTGAGTCTGGTGGCAGCACTTTTAGCTTAGCTTAGCATAAATCATTGATTCGGATTAGACCATTAGCATTCCACTCAATAAAAAGTTTAAATAATTGTACGATTTCAAGCTGGAGTTTTCTGTAGTTACAAAAGCGTACGGAAAATGTAAAGTTTCTATTTTTAGGTTGATATGTCTAGAAACTATACCTTTACTATAGTACTTTACCATACCGATTATGACGTAATAATCAAGAAACTTTGCCACCCTACCATGGCTGCTGCAGGCACTATGATATTATAAAGTGCCTGAAAATAGTCCCTAGCTAAGTAATTTACTACATAAGAGCCAAGCTTTAAATAAGAAAATTATCTGAACTCTTTTTTTGAATTTGAGCAAGATGCTAATGGTCTAATCTGATTTAATGATTTATGCTAAGCTAAGCTAAGCTAAAAGTGCTCCTACCAAACCCAGAAATCGACTGAATGGATGTCAATCTTTAACTCTGGTGGAGTTAAAAAATAAGCCTATTTGCAAAAAAAGTGGAGTGTCTCTTTATGTTGATGTTGGACAGGGTGATGACTGGATTGTTTGATGGGATATTAAAGTGTTTGTGTGTCTGGTCTGGTCCGCTTTGTTCCAGTTGCTGTGCTGGTGTGGAGAGGCTGTAACACTGCTGTTTTGTGCTGTGATGGGGGTTTGCGCTCAGTATTTGGGGACTTTGGTGTAATCCTCTTGTTGGACACTCTTGCAGAGGCACATGGACAGGATCATCCCTAAAAGCTGAAGTAAGCAGAGTAGGCACAAGAGTGAGCACAATCAGCTCCCCTCACTTCTCAAACATTTATAAGCTGCCACAGTTTGGGACTTTTAATGTTTTTTGTTTTTGTTTTTTTAAAGCTGATGACAATTACTAAAAAATAACACATGGTTGCACTTTATTTCATGGCGTCCTTGCTACTACAGTGTGACTATACAGTATTGAGTAATATTAATTAGCTACATGTTAGCTGGATATAATTATGCATACACTATTTATTGTTATCATAAGTATACTGTAGGTGGTGCAAGTGTAAGGACACAGTAAAATACTTAAACTTTGACAAAATGTTTGTTTAAAGTGATTGAAACAGGAAACCTATATTTCTAGTACATTTCATACAAATAAGTTTTATGTGATTGATCAGATATTAATTAATAATTATCATAAATATTTTGTTAACTAAATAAAAAAAAAAAACAAGTGCTTAGGTAAAAACATGTAAATATTTACAGTCTGTTCTTTCAGGTAATTGCATTCAAACTGACCAGATTACATAAAATAAATAAATGCTTACTAAAAATTAATTGTATTAAATAAAATAAAAACATGCACTTATGTAAAAAAGCATAGTTCTTGTAAATTCATGGTTCTGTAAATTGCATACAAATGTTTTAATATATCTTTCTTGGTCATATATTATTAATTAAATAGGTAAAATAAAAAAACAAAATACTTATTTAGTAATGTAAAAAAATAATATAATATAATATAGTATAATTAAGAAATTCCACTACTACTACTACTGCGGCTACTACTACTACTACTACTATTACTACTACTACTACTACTACTAATAATAATAATAATAAAGTACTTAACCCATTTTTAGGTTCAGATAAAATTATTATGCAAAAAACTATTTTCCCTCCATTTAAATTTCAAAAAGTCAGGTAAATTTATTTTATGTCGTGAGCAAATGCTTTTTAAACTTTTATAGAGGAAGCACCTTAACCAGTGAACCTCATGAGGCACATTAGTGTAATTTCCCAAAAATAACAGCATTGAAGAACAGCACACCAGCACAGACATAAACAAAACATACAGTTGAAGTCAGAATTATTAGCCCATATGAATTATCAGCCCCCTGTTTATTTTTTTCCTCAATTTCTGTTTAATGGAGAGAAGATTTTTTTTTCAACATTTCGAAACACAATAGTTTTAATAACTCATTTCTAATAACTGATTTATTTTATTTTTTCATGATGACAGTAAATAATATTTTTCTAGATATTTTTTAAGACACTTCTATACAGCTTAAAGTGACATTTAAAGGCTTAACTAGGTTTATTAGGTTAACTAGGCAGGCTAGGATAATTAGGCAAGTTATTGCATAACGATGGTTTGTTCTGTAGGCTATCGAAAAGAAATTAGCCTAAAGGGGCTAATAATTTTGTCCTTAAAATGGTGTTTAAAAAATTTAAAACTGCTTTTATTCGTTAAAATAAAACAAAAAAGACTCTCCACAAAAAAAAAAAAAAAAAAATTATTAGACATACTGTGAAAATGTCTTTGCTCTGTTACACATCGTTTGGGAAATACTTAAAAAAAGAGAAAAAAATTAAAAGGGGGGCTAATAAATCTGACTTCAACTGTAGGTGGGTGCGTAGATTCAGGAATTATAAATGCATTTTACAAGATGTGCTTTCTAGATTTACCTCGATCACTGCTATTCCAACACAGACACCCAGAATAACTCCACAGTTCCTTAGGATCCAGTCCTCCAAACTAGATATACAGCCCTGAACACAAGGAATGAAGAGAAATGAAAAAAAGCAGAACAAATGAAGAGAAAAGTGAAAGAAGATATGCAGGATTTGGAAATAAGCCTGAACAGAACAGAGTTCTCCAAAGACAACATCCAAAGAGACAAACATGAACAAGCCAAACTCAAACTATCGGAAAGAAAGTCAAAGTCACTGGATTAATTTGCAGGAAACTGCATCTTGATTTATAGTGAAAGCTTTATTTTCTTATTTAAAACTATTGATGTATGGCAGCATATAACAGAAAATTAAAGTGATATGGCATTATTGCAAAGAATTCTGTATCACCCTTTAATTTTAGTTTGTCTGTTTACATGAAATATGCAAATACGCTAATGTAAAGGTTTGAAAACTGGCATCGTTGTCTTTGATCTAATAAGCAGAAGCAGTGCCCGAGTTGGAGCTTGAATTGGAGTGAATGGCTGGCAGCAATTAATAGCTGATATCCAGTCCATGAAGGAAATCCATATGTTGTACTAAAAGCAATTGGAAGGAAGGAGAGAACGCATAACATGGAGAGGGAAATCTCACCAGCACCATCTAACATAAACAGCAAGTTTCAAAGTTGGTGCCATGCCAGCTTTTTAATCACAAGAAAAATTGTATAATAAATGATATTGGGGTTTTATATATATATATATATATATATATATATATATATATATATATATATATATATATATATATATATATATATATATATATTTTTTTTTTTTTTTAATTTATTTAATATATCAATTTTTGTCAAATACAAAAAATCCAAAAATTAAAACGTTTACTCCTTGGTGGGTAAATGGTGCAACAAGTGATTCTAACTAAAGGGATTCTAAACTTTCATTCTTGTGTTTAACACAAAACAAGATATTCTGAAAAATGTTGGGAGGAAAAAAAGAATCCATAATGGAAACAAAAAATACAATAGAATGTGTGCTTATTCCAACATTCTTCAGAATATCTTCTTTTGTGTTCAACATAAGAAAAAACTGTAATCAGGTTTGAAACAAGTGGACAGCGAATAAATTACAGAATTTTCATCTTAAGCACAACTATCCCTTTAAAGTGAAGTTCAGCTGAGTATATACTTCGATCTCATTGGTCGGGGGACCAAAGTCTGATGTGTTTTTTCCTACTGGCTACAGTAGAAACTAAAATTGTATTACCACATCAGAGTTTTTGCTCTGGAGGCTAGCTCATTGATATGAAAAGTTATGACTCTGAAGGTTTAACATATCATTTTAAGCCCCAATGAAAGTGACGTAAAGTGAAGTCTTTTGTAATGTAGAAAAACAAAAACTCTTCCAAGCCTCAACCAAATCTAACCAGAAGTGCAACAGCAGCAATTGCAGGATTTTAATATAGGTTAAAAACTATGGGTAATTTACAGATGGATGTACTATCAACATAGTATAATGATTGTATTAACTATGATTAGAGATTTACAATTAGATGAACAATGTACAGGATGCTATTAATATGCAAATATTCCTGATTATGATTAGCAACCTGTACATTATGTTGATCTATTTGTGAATCTGTGATTATAACACAATCTGTGATTTTTGAAAGTTTGCAGACCCATTATATTCATAAAGAGCTACGTTACACATTACAAAACAAAGATAAAAAGAGACATCGTTGAGACATTGGTGCAAGCAGTAAAGCTGCAAGTGTTTACCTTAGTGAAGACAGGCCATTGAGGGGACAAACCCTCACAAAAGCCTTTTTCTTGCTTATCTGAGCCACTGATGGATTCATTTCTGCAGGAACATGGATACAGAATCTTGGAGTTGTTCTTTATCATCACATTCTCTTTCCAGTCAGACTGTCCACTCCATCCACAGCACTTCATCTGAGAGAGAAACGTTGAATTACACTTGCAGTTAGAACAATAGAAATCTACAGGTAATAAATGTGCAACAGATATTATCGCACGTTTACTGTCAGGGAATGATGTAAAATTGCAGGGAAGTAGGAAATGGCAGACAATGGCTAAAGGGAAAGTTCTTACTCACCGTTCTCTGAATGTAATCCCAGGCATCCTCTGATGTATTGTTAGAACCAGTGTAGTTCACCAGAATTTTGTTCACAATGTTGTACGTCTCTCCTTTCAGCTAAAAATAAACACAAAGAGACACGTTTGGATGATTCTGTGCTGTGAACTGAATGACACCCATTGAAACTAAATGATATTGAATAATCTAATAATCTTGAAATAACGATGATGATGATAATAAAATTCATACACTGCCATTTAAATGATTTAATATTTTTGAACAACTGAAAAAAGGTCTTAGCTTTTTGATATTTGTGATTCTGTACCACTAAACTACTCATAAGCGTCATTTTTTAAAAATGACATCAATACATCACATTAAAGCTGAATAATTAAGCTTCCCTTGACGTATACTTTATGACAAGAAAATATTTGAATGAGATACAAGTATTTAAATACAAGGAATCTGGAAGAAATGTTTTTATACATTTATGTTAGGAAATTCATGAAATATCTAAATGGTATATGAGATTTACTTCATTTTCTAATTATCCTTGACACAAAATATATATAATTTTGATCTAGAAAAAATATTCATTTTAAACATTCATTCATTCATTCATTCATTTTTCTTTTTGGCTTAATCCCTTTATTAATCAAGGGTTGTCACAGCAGAATGAACTGCCAACTTATCCAGCATATGTTTTATGCAGCGGATGCCCTTTTAGCCACAACCCAAAACTGGGAAATACCCATAAACTCTTGCATTCACATTCATACACTACGGCCAATTTAGCTTATTTCATTCAACTGTATTGCATGTCGTAGGACTGTGGGGGAAACTGGAGCACCTTGAAAAAAAACATGCATACAAGGAGAGAACAACCAAACGCCTCATGTGAAATTTCTAGGGACATATTTAGTCTCATTTAAATGCTAAATCTTTGCATAAAATTTGCACTTAACAGCATACACAATAGGGATGTGCAAATCCATGCTCGAGTATTGATATATCGATACTCAGAAGCTTTTAATTTGGTATCGATATTTTCTTAAGTTTACATAATTTAACTATATTTCAATCATTTCTGCATAACATGAATGTTTTAGCGCTGTGTATTGTCAATGTAGCTTTGTACACAAGACGTTTCACCAATCAATCAGTGGCAAACGTGACGCGATCGATCATATGCCTTTCAGATAACTTACAGCCTACTCAACACACGCAAGTCGTACACTTCTGCACCAGGGAATGACACGATGGCAGAGACATAACGCAGCGTGTTGTGGTGAAAAAGCTGCTGAAAAAGCGTTGCACGAGTAATATTTGTGATACGAAAGTCATACACAGCAATAATACAAGCAGCCTTTATAAACACTTACAGACAACACAGCCTGAAACTTATAAAGTGGAACAAAACAAGCTGCCCAGTGTTCATCTGCTCCGTTTCCCTATGTCCAACAAAAGACATTATAAGAGGCAAACCTCTCCCTCTCTCTCTATCTCTCTTCAAAAAATTCTTATTTTTATATTTACATATATATATATATATATATATATATATATATATATATATATATATATATATATATATATATATATATATATATATATATACACACACACATATATACATATATACACACACACATATATAA